TGCTATGCCTGATACTAAAGCTCCTCAACCATGAAAGACGATGCCGACCCCTCGTAAAGCCATTTGCGCTCACGCAAATGGTCATAAGGGCAGTAAAAGAATTAAAACAGCTGTCAAACCAAGGATTTCGGTGATCCATCTCATCACTTGTTGGCCGTTTACGCCCCCCCCCCCCCCCCGATCCTCTCTTTTGTTGTCTTCAACGCAAGCGAAAACGTTTATCTGAACTATTGGTATTGATTGGTGGTACGAGACCCTCCTCGCAAATCAGAACAAGCCTACCGGGCAGTTTGCAGCCGGGGCCAGCGGGCCCAACCCAGGCGCAGAGAACCAGCAACATGTACTGAGCGGCGATTCCGAAATGACCGAAGATGGCGGCACCGCGTTTGGATACACGGTTCACAACGGCAACGGCTCGGCCGACTACTAGCCGCGTCGTGCGTCGGTAGTCGTACAAGAGGACGGAGGTCAAGTAGGAGCCCCCAAATGATCTCTTTTTGTTGGAAAGACTACCGGAGAAAGGCATGGTTAGGTGGGAGGCGGCAGAAGAGACGGACAGGAAGCAATGGTCCGGATGCTCAAATTGTATCAAGAGGAAATCTATTGCGAGCACATGGCTGGAAATCTGGAGGAACAACATCTACCAAACAAACTTTCGTTTTGGAGGAAACACACAATCGGATAATACAGTGGGCATGGGACTTGTGTGCTCATCTCTATCTACTTATTCTTCCTATTCGGATAATCGTATTAGATTGCGTAGTAGCTCACGCGAGCCTCATGACCCTTCCCCCTCTCCTTGCGCTCCGTTGGCACTTTTGATCCTGCACGTGGTGATTACATGCTGAACTGACTATTATTACTACATGGCTTACGTTGCTTCTGCTTCTGCTGCCGCTGCTGCTGCTGCCGCCTGTCTCCGCCGTGTCAACAGTTCCTGCAACGGAACATCATCGTCTTGTTCATCGTAAAACTCGACGTCCTCGTCGACGCCAAAGTCTTGTAATCGCTCGCCCTCGGAATTGCGCCAGCTTTCTTCGCCTTCGCGCGCGGCGTCGTCGTTCTCGTCAGCGGTGGCGGTGCTGTCCGTGGGTAGTATGGGGGTTTCTTTTGTGGCGGTGGGTGGAGCGGGTTCGTTGGTGGATGTTGGGTCGAGAGTGCTGGGGGTGGAAAGTGGTGCTTGTGGATGGGCGCAGGGCTTGTACTCCCCCGTTACCGGATGACTGTAGGCCTTGCCAGTTTCCGCCCTCTCCGCCTCCAGCCTCTCCAAAAACGGTCTCCGCCTCAGCACATCCTCCGCCTGCCTCTTCTTGAACGCGGCAACCGCCTCGCGGCCCTCCAGCCCAGAATCATGATACGTAAACGCGGCTACATTCCCCGCCTCCCTCCTCGCCCTAACCATCCGATCCGGATCCGGCGGCGGCCACACCGTCCCCGCCGCCTCGAACCCATTCGTCGGAAACGCGAGACCGCGGGCGAGGCTGGGCGTCGGGGCCCAGGGATTCAGCCAGAGGATGGGGTTCGCAGATCCCATGCCCTGCACCACATTCATCCACACCCCAACATCGTACGGGAATTCCTGGCGGCGGATACGCACGCGCCGAAAATCCGGGGCATCGAGGTATCCGCCGAGTAAGCGGGCGCGACGGCAGAGGGTGCGGTGGCGTTGAATTTCCCAGGATTCGATTGTTGTGGTGTTGAAGGCGAGGGAGTAGAGGTTGCGGAGGGAGAGGAGGGAGAGGGCGAAGAGGGTTGGGGTGTTTGTGAGGAGGGTAGTGAAGAGGTGGGCTAGTTGGAATGGGGTGGGGCCGAGGGAGGCCGGTTGGGTGCGGGACTGCCAGAGGTGGTGGAGGCGGAGGAGGAGGAAGTATTGGAGGAGGGAGAGGCCGAGGGTGGTGTAGAGGAGGAAGCGGAGGAAGTGGGGAAAGGTGGTGTGGGAGACGCAGTTTGCGGTCCAGGGGCAGTGGTGGTCCATTTTTGGTATGCATCTGGGGGGTTGGGTGGGTTAGGTTGGTGTTTTGTTTTGAGGTGGTGGTGATGTGAACTGATGTGAAATGGTAGGGAATGAAATAGTAGGGAATGAAATGATATAAAACAAAATAGTGGAAATCCGAAATGGCAGAGAGGTTGCAAGAAGGAGACTTTTCGTTTCAAGTTTGTTCACCTTTTACACTCCTTGCAATGATGCGCCCTCGGCGGCTTCGCAGCATCACACTTCCGACACCATTTCCTACTCTTCACCGCCGCAAAACTATTTCCTTCTCCCTCCCCCTTCTCCTCCTCTTCCATCCCCTCCCCGGTAACCCCCAGCTCCCCCAGCCTCTGCGCCCAATCCCGCGGTATCCGTCCCGGGTCCACAAACACGGCTCTCGTATAGGTAATCCAAATCAGCACTAACAAGACGTTCGAGACCAAGAGTTCATTTCTTGTTAGCGGCTGGGGTTCCAGGTGCATTAGCAGCCATTGCGAGGGGTAGCCGAGGAAGAAGATGAGGAAGTAGACAGAGGGCACTGCGAGTTGGGATATTTCCATTTTATTTTTTTTGAGGGGAAGAGGGATTAGAGGGATTGTTGGGATGGCGGTTGGCTGTGTGCGTGCATGGTATGGTACTGTTTCTGGCTATGAGGTTTGGTGTGGTCGTGTGTTGAGGGCCGAGAGAGATCTATGTGTGTGTGTGTGTGTGTGTGTGTGTCTGTGTGTGTGTGTGTGTGTGTGTGTGTGTGTGTGGTGTTGATGTGGTGGTGGGAAGGGTTCGGGTAACTTGCATGTGGGTCCTGGAGGGAAAAGGCAAACGTCATTGGTTGTCAACTACGCGTCTACCGTACTCTACCCAAAGCATGTTCAACTTCATCTCGCGTTGCATCATCTTCAAACCCAAGTCCCTCCCCCTTGGATCTCTCAAGAGCACATCCGAAGCGTTCGCAACGCGCAAAGCGGATCGTCATGGCTCTTCCCACATGGCCGATTTTCCTGCTCATCCCAACAGTCATTCTGCTACACCTGTTTGCATCGCCATACACCAAAGTCGAGGAATCATTCAACATCCAAGCCATCCACGACATTCTGATCCACGGCATCCCAACCGAAAACGCAGACCACTTTCTCACCGCAAACTATGATCATGTCTCGTTTCCGGGCAGTGTGCCCCGGACCTTTGCAGGCGCGTTGGTTCTGAGCGGGCTATCGAGGCCTTTTGTTTGGCTGGTGCGAGATGTCGCGCACTTGCAATTACTCGGTGGGTAGAAATTGGTCTTGCAACGCATATCCTACTTACAGCTCATGGAATACGTCTAGTCAGAGGTGTGCTTGGCATGTTGAATGCCGCTGCGCTCATAGCCTTTGGACGGAGTGTACAGCTGCCTGGGGCATTTGGGTCGACGGCGGGAGTCTGGTATGCTTTGTTTCAGGCGAGCCAGTTCCATGTCATGTATTATGCTTCGCGGACGTTGCCCAATATGTTTGCATTCATCTTTAGTAAGTTGGTGGTTTGTTTTAACACAGGGACGGGCCGTTTTGCTGACTGCAACACCAAAGGCAATTTGGCACTGTCCAGTCTGATGAATGCGTACGCAATGCCATGGAGTCGTCAAGATGTCTCCAAGTACCAAAGATTAAGTCTCTATCTTTTAACTATTGCCGGTGTCGTCTTCCGCTCCGAGTTGGCTCTCCTAGTCGGCACAATCACTCTCTACCTCTTCATCACCCAACGCACCTCCATTGTCCGCGTCATCATCCCCGCCGGCCTAGGTGGTCTTACCATTGGCCTCCTCTGCACCATACCCTTAGACTCCTTCTTCTGGCAATCTTTCCCCTTGTGGCCCGAATGGACCGCCTTCTACTACAACACCATCCAAGGCCACTCTGCAGACTGGGGCATCTCCCCCTGGCACTACTACTTCACCAACGCCCTCCCCCGCCTCATGCTCAATCCAGCCACCTACCTCCTCTGCATCCCCATCGCCCTCCTCAACCCCGCAACCCGCCGCCGCAGCCTAGACCTCCTCATCCCCCTCCTCTCCTTCATCGCCCTCTACAGCCTTCTCCCCCACAAAGAATGGCGCTTCATCCTCTACACCATCCCGGGCTTCACCGCCGTCGCCGCAGCAGGCGCATCCTGGCTCTGGCACCGTCGCTCCAAATCCCCCCTCTACGCCCTCCTCACCCTCGCCCTCGTCGCCTCCCTCGTCGCCTCCTTTGCCACCTCCACCGCCCTCCTCGCAATCTCCTCCCTCAACTACCCCGGCGCCCACGCCCTCC